GACCGTCCTATATATAAAAGAATACCGAAGTCTAGTAACCTCACGAGGATTCACGAAGCTTCGAGAATACGACGTGTTACTAGCGTCACGTGACCTCGATGACGCAACAAGGGTATTAGTTAGGACCGCTTTATAACGGAAGGATGGGCATGGTGAACTAAACTGAGTTAAGAAAATAAATATCCAGACTGGACACCACGTGTAATAGAAATTGAGAACAATCTTTATTTATCACCAAGACAAAAACACGGTTCACTTACTTCTTTTCTAGATGCTCGCCTCTCACTGGACTCATCCCCTTACGATGTTTTCTCGTCAACCAACTCACTTGAGATCCTGTATAGAACTTTGTAAATCTCATATTTCTTGATTAAAGAAAACGTTGGATTTACCCAGAGCCACTAGTGTTACTTAAGTGACTAGCTATTCTCATTCAGTATAGGGGAGGACGTAATCTCTATATATCATCCTACCAGTGAAGGGCATTTCTGTCGCCGATAGCCTTGCACAACGTGCAGCATTATCCCAAACAGGTAGAACAGAATTCCAAAGAAGGTTGGTTTTGTGCAAATTCAGAGGGTTCTTACGTTCTTGTTGGGTTACTGACTGGATTGGTTTTTAAAAACCTAATTAACCACCCGAATGCACTTTGGGGGGGGGGGGCAAAAAACAAAATGGTCATGCTTCATTTCAAAGGTAACGTAATCAGATTCAGAGAAATGTTTTGTAACGAAGCAGATAGTAGAAACCAGGCTTAAGAGTTATACACTTTCTTTTGGTGGCTGCAATGGGAACTAGAATAATGAAATAAACTTTACTTCCTCATATGAGTTATATAAGAGTTATAAACTTTCTTTTGATGGCTGCAATGGGAACTAGAATCATGAAATAAACTTTACTTACTCACATGAGTTATATACGAGTTATAAACTTTATTTTGATGGCTGCAATGGGAACTAGAATAATGAAATAAACTTTACTTCCTGATATGAGTTATATAAGAGTTATAAACTTTCTTTTGATGGCTGCAATGGGAACTAGAATAATGAAATAAACTTTACTTCCTCAGATGAGTTATATACGAGTTATAAACTTTCTTTTGATGGCTGCAATGGGAACTAGAATAATGAAATAAACTTTACTTCCTCAGATGAGTTATATTTTAAAGCCCAATACTTTAGCATGTAACTTTAATGCTATACAATAATGGTATAGAGAGAGTTATATGCTGGCTGATGATACGTTATAACTTCAATTAATAAAGATACAAAATATGATTATATCGAATACATATTTTCGTGTTACCAGTGGTATAGGCTACCCAGTGATAAAATATGGTTATATCGAATACATATTTTCGTGTTACCAGTGGTATAGGTTACCCAGTGATAAAATATGGTTATATGGAATACATATTTTCGTGTTACCAGTGGTATAGGCTACCCAGTGATAAAATATGGTTATATGGAATACACATTTTCGTGTTACCAGTGGTATAGGCTACCCAGTGACAAAATATGGTTATATCGAATACATATTTTCGTGTTACCAGTGGTATAGGTTACCCAGTGACAAAATATGGTTATATCGAATACATATTTTCGTGTTACCAGTGGTATAGGTTACCCAGTGACAAAATATGGTTATATCGAATACATATTTTCGTGTTACCAGTGGTATATGTTACCCAGTGACAAAATATGGTTATATCGAATACATATTTTCGTGTTACCAGTGGTATAGGTTACCCAGTGACAAAATATGGCAAACAAACATTACACCGAACTACATACGTCAATTCGGGTTAAGTCGCTATATTGATGACGTCATCAAGTAATTTTAATACCTAGTATTAGACCAAAACTAAATTCCTATAATGAAGTTATAATAGTTTATAAGCAATGCCATGTTTATCAAGATTAAATGTTAATCATCACACTATTCCATCTTCAATATCAAAACTTCCCAAATCGACTTCTTGTAGGTTGATACAGAACAACAGCGACCATACTAACTGTAGAACCCACTTCCTTTAGGTTGACCCGGAATAATAACGACCATACTAACTGTAGAACTCACTTCCTTTAGGTTAACCCGGAATAATAACTGTAGAACCCACTTCCTTTAGGTTGACCCGGAATAATAACGACCATACTAACTGTAGAACTCACTTCCTTTAGGTTAACCCGGAATAACAACTGTAGAACCCACTTCCTTTAGGTTGACCCGGAATAATAACGACCATACTAACTGTAGAACCCACTTCATTTAGGTTGATCCGGGATAATAACGACCATACTAACTGTAGAACCCACTTCATTTAGGTTAACTCGGAATAATAACGACCATACTAACTGTAAAACCCACTTCATTTAGATTGATCCGGGATAACAACAACCATACTAA